TTTTCTGGGATTTTTTTCTGGATTTTCTGGGATTTCCCCCAATTTTCCTGGATTTTTCCCATTTTTCCTGGATTTTCTGGGATTTCCTGCATTTTCCCTGGAATTTCTGGGATTTTTTCGGGATTTTCTGGGATTTCCCCCCCATTTTTTCTGGATTTTTCTGGGATTTCCCCCATTTTCCCTGGATTTTTCCCCATTTTTCCTGGACTTTTCTGGGATTTCCCCCATTTTTCCTGGATTTGGGGATCACAGCCCCTTCCCGGATTTTTCCTGGCTTTTCCCCAGATTTTTCCTGGATTTTCTGGGATTTTTCCCCATTTCCCCTGGATTTTCTCGGATTTTTCCCCAGTTTTCCTGGACTTTTCTGGGATTTCCCCCATTTTTCCTGGATTTGGGGATCACAGCCCCTTCCCGGATTTTTCCTGGCTTTTCCCCAGATTTTTCCTGGATTTTCTGGGATTTTCCCCCCATTTTCCCTGGATTTTTCCCCATTTTTTTAAATTTTCCCCTCATTTTTCCTGTTTTTTGGGATCACTCTCCCTTCCTGCCCCTTCCTGGATTTTTCCCAGATTTCCCCCATTTCCCTCCCCCATTTTCCCATTTTTTCCCGGATTTTTGGGATCCCAAACAACCCCGACTGATTTTTTCCTCTCCCATCCCCAAAACCCCGACTTTTGTGGGATTTTTCCCAATTTCCAGGCGGCTGCTGCAGAAATTCCTGAATTTCCACAGCTCCCGGCGATTCGGGGCTGGGAAAAACCGGGAATTCGGGGGGAAAATTTGGAATTTTGGGGGAAAAATTTGGAATTTTGGGGGAAAAAAATGGGAATTTTAGGGGAAAAATTTGGAATTTTGGGGGGAAAAATGGGAATTTCGGGGGGAAAAATGGGAATTTTGAGGGGAAAAATTGGAATTTTGGGGGGAAAAAACCCAAATGGAGGGCTGGGGGTGGGAAATTCCCGCTTGGATCGGGGCTGGAATTTCCAGGAGGGGCGGGAATGGTTCAAATTCCAGCCTGGCAGGAGGGAGGGAGGGGATGAGCTCCAGGAAAATTCCATGAGGGAGAAGCTTGGAATGTTCCCAGGGAAGCCTGGAATGTGCCCAGGGCCCGGCTGGAATTGCCCCGCGGGGATTGCAGGGAGGGGAGGGGGGAAGGGAATTTTCCGCCTCTGGAATGGTCCCGGGGCTGCTCATCCCGAAAAAATGGGGCTGGAAAATAAAAATGGGGCTGGAAAGAAAAAAAATGGGGCTGGAAAAAATGGTTCTGATGGGGGGGAGCTCCTGGTCCTGCCCAAATTCCTGGATCCATCCCAAATTCCAAATCCTTCCCGAGCCTCTGGGTCCTTCCCAAAAATCCTGGATCCTTCCCAAAAATCCTGGATCCTTCCCAAATCCCTGGGTCCTTCCCAAATTCTGGGTCCATCCCAAAAATCCTGGATCCTTCCCAAATCCCTGGGTCCTGCCCAAATTCTGGGTCCATCCCAAAAATCCTGGATCCATCCCAAATATCCTGGGTTCATCCCAAATCCCAAATCCTTCCCGAGCCTCTGGGTCCTTCCCAAATCCTGGATCCATCCCAAATCCCTGGGTCCTGCCTAAATCCTGGGTCCTTCCCAAATCCCCGATCCATCCCAAATCCCTGATCCATCCCAAATCCCGGATCCATCCCAAATTCCCGATCCATCCCAAATCCCTGATCCATCCCAAATCCCGGATCCATCCCAGATCCTTCTGATTCCCCTGGATCCATTCCTGGTCCTTCCCGACCCTCTGGATCCATCCCAAATTCTCTCCTGCTTCCCCGGATCCATCCCCGCTCCCCCTTCCCCCGTTCCCACTCCTCCTCCTCCTCCCCTCTCCCATTCCCGGCTCTGTTCCCAGCTCCTGATTTTGGGAATGCCCCAATTCCCATCCCACAGAAATCCGGGATCCCGCTGGGATCCGGCTCCCTCCCCCCATTCCCACATTCCCACCCCCCTCTCCCTCCTCCTCCTCCCCTCCCTCTCCCATTCCCTGTGGAATTCCCAGCTCCTGATTTTTGGGAATGCCCCAATTCCCATTCCAATCCCACTAAAACCCCTGCAATCCTACTGAGATCCCTGAGCCATTCCCACATTCCCACATTCCCACAATCCCTCTCCCTCCTCCTCCTCCCCTCCCTCTCCCATTCCCAGCCCCATTCCCACTCCCTGATTTTTGGGAATGCCCCATTTCTCCCTCTGCTCGTCCCAATCCCTCTAAAATCCGGGATTTTCCTCCTCTCCCTCCTTCCCACATTCCCACATTCCCACATTCCCACCCCTCTCCCTTCCAGCTCCATTCCCAGTTCCTGCCTTTTGGGAATGCCCCAATTCTCCCTGAAAACCCTGGGATCCCACGGAAATCCCAGATCCCACTGAAATCCCAGATCCCAGTGAAATCCCAGATCCCACTGAGATCTGGGCTCCTTCCCTCGTTCCCTCCTCCCTCCCCACATTCCCATTCCCACATTCCCACATTCCAGTCCCTCTCCCTCCCTCCTCCCCTCCCTCTCCCATTCCCAGCCCCATTCCCGGCTCCTGCCTTTTGGGAATGCCCCGTTTCTCCCTGAAAATCCTGGGATCCCGCTGAGACCTGGGACCCCACGCTCGCCCTGAGCCATTCCCACATTCCCACATTCCCTCACTCCCTCGTTCCCACATCCCAGTCCCTCTCCCTCCTCCTCCTCCTCCTCCCTGCCTCATCCTGGCTGCAATTCCCGGCTCCATTCCCAGCTCCTGCCTTTCGGGAATGCCCCAATTCCCACCCCAATCCCACCGAACCCTGGGATCCCGCTGAGATCCGGGATCCCACGCTCGCCCTGAGCCTTTCCCACATTCCAGTCCCTCTCCCTCCTCCTCCTCCTCCCCTTCCTCTCCCATTCCCAGCTTCCTTCCCGGCTCTGTTCCCACTCCCTGACTTTCGGGAATGCCCCAATTCCCATTCCAATCCCACAGAAATCTGGAATCCCACTGGAATCTGAGCTCCCTCCCTCGCTCCCTCCCCTCGTTCCCACATTCCCGTTCCCACATTCCCGTTCCCACATTCCAATCCCTCTCCCTCCTCCTCCTCCCTCTCCCATTCCCAGCCCCATCCCACATTCCAGTCCCTCCCCCTCTCCTTCCTCTCCCATTCCCGGCTCCGTTCCCGGCTCCTGACTTTTGGGAATGCCCCAATTCCCATTCCAGTCCCGCTGGAATCCGGGCCCCTCCCTTCCCACATTCCCACTCCTCCTCCTCCCCTTCCTCTCCCATTCCCGGCTCTGTTCCCAGTTCCTGATTTTTGGGAATGCCCCAATTCCCATTCCAATCCCACTGGAATCCGGGCTCGGTGCCTCCTCCCTCCCCACGTTCCCACATTCCCATTCCCACATTCCAGTCCCTCTCCCTCCTCCTCCCCTCTCCCATTCCCAGCCCCATTCCCGGCTCCATTCCCAGTTCCTGACTTTCGGGAATGCCCCAATTCCCATTCTAATCCCACTAAAACCCCTGGAATCCCACAGAAATCTGGAATCCCTCTGGAATCCGGGCTCGGTGCCTCCTCCCTCCCCACGTTCCCACATTCCCATTCCCACATTCCAGTCCCTTTCCCTCCTCCTCCTCCTCCTCCCCTCCCCTCTCCCATTCCCAGCCCCATTCCCGGTTCCGTTCCCACTCCCTGATTTTCGGGAATGCCCCATTTCCAGTCCCCATCCCACTGGAACCCGGGTCCCTCCCTCCCCACATTCCCATTCCCACATTCCCACATTCCAGTCCCTCTCCCTCCTCCTCCCCTCTCCCATTCCCAGCCCCATTCCCAGCCCCATTCCCGGTCCCATTCCCAGCTCCTGACTTTGGGAATGCCCCAATTCCCACTCCAATCCCACTAAAACCCTGGAATCCCACTAAACCCTGGAATCCGGGCTCAGTGCCTCCTCCCTCCCCACATTCCCATTCCCACATTTCCACATTCCAGTCCCTCTCCCTCCTCCTCCTCCCCTTCCTCTCCCATTCCCAGCCCCATTCCCGGTCCCGTTCCCGGCTCCTGACTTTGGGAATGCCCCAATTCCCACTCCAATCCCACAGAAATCTGGAATCCCCCTGAAATTCCGGCTCCCTCCCTCTGTCCCTCCTCCCTCCCCACATTCCCACTCCTCCTCCTCTCCTTCCTCTCCCATTCCCAGTTCCCATTCCCGGTTCCTGGCTTTGGGAATGCCCCAATTCCCACTCCAATCCCACTAAACCCTGGAATCCCCCTGGAATCCGTCCCCCCCCTGGAA